GGGGGAAAACAAGCTACAGCCGCATTTGAAAGATTTTTATTGAACAAAAATGCAATTTGATACTTTAAAAATTAGTATATATATATTGTTCTAAACACAAAATAGCTCAAAACATCAAAATACGGTACATATAAACACTTTCATGTTTATACACATGGAAATGTAGCAAATGAAACTAACAAAAATATACAAGTATTTCTCATTGAGATGAATGCTCCCTTTTTTTTTCAATAATGATTATATTGCAAAAATAGTTTTTATTCTCTACCCCTCTTCCTCCACCTGTGGCTAAGCAGTAAGTGTGAGAGCTTATATATATATATTATTTTTTAAATTACATATGAACTGCATGCAAGAAAAGTAATGTTCCAACCTCAACACAGCCAGAATAATTCCTATCGCTGGTTTGTATGGGCGCCACCTATTGACAGTTAAACTGACTAAACCAGCCTATACTTTTTATGCCGAGGAAAAAAAATACATTTATATAATTTTCCTGATTAAATTACTCTATATACTGAATAAACGCGACATTTAATTAATAGCCATTGTGTAACAAAGATATCACAAGTACACAACGCTTTGTTTAACGTTATTAGAAGTTTGAGGTTCAGAGTGGCAACAAAGTAGCGATGTAAAAACAGTTAGCTAATAGTTTTTATGTCTACGAGATCTACAAGAGATATATTTATAAACAAAGAAAATGTTCAGAGTATAATTTTAGTAATATTCCTCCTGCTTGAAATATGAAACGTGTCGTTTTTAAGGTTGCTTAGTAACATAGCATTCTATTGTTGGTTTTGTTTAGGCGATGGTGTATATTTTCAATCAATAGTGCTTTTAAATGGTTTTAAACTAGATAAGTATTCGATAAAAAAAAAGGAGACGGGAGGTGAAAATTCAATGTTAAGTTTATTTATCGGTCGAAATTATCGTTAACAGCCAAGGATACCTAACTGATAACATAGTACATCCTAAGCTTTACAAGTAAGAATGAAAAAACACTGTTTAATTAGCTATGCTCATTACCGGGTTGATTTTTTAACTTGCTATAAGTTGTTAGCTTGCTCAGATTAAATTTGATATTAATTTCTTACAGGCCTCATCAAATTAATTTGATGCCGTTCAGTATTAGCTTAATTCTATGATAACTTCTTTTGTTACACGTAATTGTTGATAAGTAATTATAAAAATAGGTTCGTTGTTGGCTGAGATCCCAATCCAGTTTATGAAAGTGTTGCTACTATTGAAATAAAAACGTATTTTTGAGCTCGTGCCATTTCGTGGTCTTACTTAAAGCTTTAAAACAAGATTTAAAACTAAACAATATAGTATAAGCTTCATGTCTATAATATATAATATATTATAAGCTTCATGTTTATAATACATAATATTATAAGATTCAACTCTATAGTATACAATATCATATAAGCTTCATGTTTGTAATATATAACGTTACAAGATTTATGTCTGCAAGCACTATACACAGTCACAGACATATGTAAGATGTTGAGCAACTATGGAAGATCGGTTATTTTAATGCTCATTGGTATGTGTGCGGAATTATACCGCTAGAAATACGGTTTCGATACTTGTGGTAGGCACAGCACAGATAGCCCATTGTATAGCTTTGTGCTTAACTACAAAACAAACAAATGGTTATTTTAGCAATAAAGTTAGAAAAAAATAACCTTTACTCTTCAAAAAATGATAAAACAAAACTTTTTATTTCAGCCAACATTTCACCTGATGAAACCGTAATGGCGAAACGTTGTTTATGAAGGTACTGAAGACTTATTTACATTCAGTTACAGATCTAGCACTAACGTTACATGACGTCATTCAAAAACTAACCATCCTTCGGGCAATAAAGTTAAAGAAAAACGACACTTAGACTTCAGATAATAATAAAAACTGTTTATTTCAGTCAGGTTTAAAAGAAGCTATCACCTGTACTCTTGTGAACATATATACAGCAGATTTGTATCTTAGTAGTCAACAGGTGGCGTCATTAGTTGTAAATTGTGGAAACAGAAAGGTTCGATAAATACAAAAATCTGATGTTCGTTCTGTGCACTGATCATCACAAATTCACTACGTAATGATGCCATTAGTTATAGTATCGCTGGTAATTACTGTGATATCTAAGTTATTCTGGTAGATTTGCATGAATCTTGATACATAGAAACATATCTCGTTAATAGTTCCAAATTAGATAATAACGCACCGACAGAAATAGCAAGTACTATCATTAAAAGAACATTTACAGGAAAACGCGTGGCAGAAATATATCGCTGTAAAGGCTACATATATACTAATCACAATTGTATTTATGCTTCATATCCAGAAATGTATGTTTATTGTTAGTCTAATGATAAAACCTTAGTTAAGTACTATCGACCTTGGCCAAACACTTTAAGGTACAATATCAAGCATTTTAATTCCGTTGGTTCATTACTCGTTTCGAAGTAAATGATCTCTCCAATTATACAGTGTCAAACTATTGGTTTTTATAAGGCTTATCACTAAAAGTTTTCTTGTTTGTATAATATAAAAAGCGTTATGCTCAACACTCATCCCCCCTTCATGTGAAGACTGCATGAGAAAAACAATCGAATGTACTTCAGAAAAGCTCGAGGAACGATATGTTCTCGTAAAGTCTCGTTTATGCTTATTACAGGTTATTATTTGTCATTGTTTCTTGAAACAGCTGGCCTGAACACAAACGTTATAATATAACATCTCTGTAACAACCATGACATAAATACAAGTATTCGATCACAACCAGAATAACAAATAATATTAGTACTCGATCACAACCAGGACAAAACTATAACTTGTGTACTTAATCACAACCAGGTCATAAATACAACCAAAACAAAGTGGTAAGTAATTTATCACAATCAAGACAAAGCTATAAGTACTTAATTACAACCAGGACATAGCTATAAGTACTTAATTACAACCAGGACAAAGATATGAGTAATCGATCAAACAAGGATAAATACAAGTAATCGATCACAACTAGCACAAACCAAGACAAAATTTTAAGTATTTGATCAAAACTAGGACAGAACTTTAAATATTTAATCACAAAAAAAATAACAGCAAAATATATTTTAAGCAAAGGAATATTTTTCTTTGAATTTGAATTATTTTTTTCATTTTAACTAAGCCAAAAAAGTTATTTAAAAAACAAAAAAGAATGGCGTTTGAAGTTACCGTCCTTTTTATTTTTTTTGCATAAAAGTCAAGGTAGAGAAAACTGTTTGTTATTAAGCACAAAGCTACACAACGGGCTATCTATGCCCTGCCCACCACGGGTCTCGCAACCCAGTTTATAGCGCTATAAGTCCGTAGATATACCGCTGTACCACTGGGGGGACAGGGACAGAAGAATGGGAGAAAAATATATGGAACTGTTACCGTCTCCGTTTGTTAATTAACTTTCCGTAACTTCGTTCCGACGAAACTTGCGACACAAGTTCTTTAGTTAATAAAACT